CTGACAAGCAGCCTGCTTCATCGGAGAGGTCTGGATCCTGGTGCTTCACGTTATGTGGTCTCCAAGCATTGTGTTACCATGCATAACAGTTGTAGCATCTAATAATGTCATCCACAGTATCAGGCTCCCCCCACTTGTGTATAAATGCCTGAATACAAAGGCTATATTTCATCCATTTTCATGAAGTGGGCTGCAGTGGGTGTGGTCCCTCCCACAAGTCAAATGCATTCCACAGTCTTTTAAAAGTTTGTATCTTTTGTTTTCTTGGACATTCATGGCAGGACACTTATAATGTTATTTTAGAACATTTAAACCCTTCTTGTGCTAATCATCAGAACAGAAATATTTTCTCTTCTTACATTTGAAAAGACAAGGTTTCTGAAGTTCAAACAGGGCTAGAAGGCAGAGAAAAGTGAAAAGGTTCATTTCTTCACCATGATACTCAGCCACATCTACACACTGAACCTTTTATACCCTAACTTTTTTATCTCTGGAAACTGAGATATAACAAAAACTGAAGACCTCAAATTGAAGCGATAGTGTTCAAACAGCTGACCTGTGTGGCACTATCAGTAGATCTATTGCTGGTAAATAGAGCAAGGAATAAAACCAGATATATGGAAATAACTAGCATATCATTGCTGGTCATAGAAATAATTTGTTGCAAATATTTGTTGCTGTGTCCCTTCAGGTTGTTTCAGACTTATAGAAACTCTAAGCAATCCTATCATGAGGCTGTCTTGACAAGATTTGTTCAGTGGGGGTTTCCTTTGCCTTCACTGAGGCTGAGAGCATGTGATCTGCCCAAGGTCACCTAATGGGTTTCATGGCCCAGCTGGGAATCAAACCCAGGTCTCCAGAGTTGTAGTCCAACACTCAAACCGCTATGCCACTCTTTCTTTCTTTCTTTCTTTTCTTGCCTTTCCCCCAATATAAGTTGGCTCAAGGTGGCTAGCAGCAAATTGAAAACAATACAAATTGAAAACAATACAAAATATTTTAAAAGCATAAATATAACATTTAAAAACAATTTTAAAAATTATTGTGAAGATAAAAGGGCAGGAGTGGCTTTATGCTACTTGAAAGAAAGGTGGAATATAAATGTAAGAAACAAATTGACAAGTAAATAAATACAATAGACTCTTCCTATGCATGGGGGTTTGGTTCTAGGTACACCAGTGAATAGGAAAAAAAAATAGATGGTTGTGCCCCATATTATTCAATGGGTGGTGGTGCGTCCACATCAGCATGCCTATTTACACACACGACCATTGAATAATATGGGTTGAGGTGATCCACAAGCAGTTGAATCTATGGATTGCTAGCTCATTCAGGCAGTGGGCCCACTGTATATACAAACAAAAGAGGAAAAGAAGAATATAGAACTACTAACTAGATCAGTCCACTTCCAACAAGTGTATAACTCATGAGAACTTTCACAATACTTAAGCCTATGAGCAGGCAAAGAAGTGACATTTGAGTACTGACTCTCCAACTGCATGAAGAAACCTTAACTAGTATCTGGTGAGAGCATCTGCCTTTAGCATGAGAGATTTAAGGCTCATTCATTGATCCTAACATCCTGGAGGTATGTTTCATAAATACAGCTGAAATGTCACAGCTACTTTGAGCATTAACTGTGACATCTGTACAGAGAATTCTTGCTTACCCAGAGGAATTAGAAATGTGTGCTCCATCAGTGAACAAAATCTTCTATGATTTGAGTCAGTGTCATTCTTCAGCTGATGGACCTTAGTTTCATAATAAAGCACATGATTTGCATACAGAAAGTCTGGGGTTCTGTCCCTGCATATTCAGGAAGGGCTAGGAAAGACTACTGTCTCAGAATATGGAAAACTAGCCAGTCCATACAGCCAGTGGAAAAGGGGAATTTCCTTAGAGGGGAATTTACTGTAAAACTAGCTTGTGTCTGTCAGGAGTCCTCAGGTAATCTGGTACTCTACAAATTCAGTTGGAACAACTACAGGTCAATTAGGCCTTCCTTCTAATTCCTAGCTGGGAAAGTAGAAAGTCAGCTCTCTCTACTACAGCCACTATTTCCCTGTATCCAGTTTCCCTATAGCCCCATTGAATAATTTGTAGGTCTTTTCTTTTCTGAAACTCAGGGGCTAAGCAGATGGGTGGCCGTGGGCCGCCCTCGGAAGCTGCGCCGCGGGACCGAGGCATCCCCATGCCTCGATCCAGGGGCGCAGCTTTGCTGCCCCTGAAAGGAGCGCTAAATTAGTGCTCCTTTCACAAGTCAGCGAAAGTCAACTTTCATTGACTTTTCTGCCGCAGTGCGTGGAAAGGCTGCGGCAGGAGGTCCTCCTCGGAGCGCCAGCCATGTGGAGGGCCGGCTGCTCCGAGGACGACCTCGGGAGGGGGTTGGGGCACCAAGCATGCGGCTGCCTCTCCCCTTCCCTGCCCCCAAGATGGCCCTTTAAGCCGTCTGCTTAGGGGCTCTGTTGCTCTCTAGTGATCAAAAGCAACTTTGAGCCTCTACAGACGGGTGGCTGTGGGCTGCCTCGAGAAGCCGGGGATTGGGGTTGAGGCTGCCCCAAGTCTCAGCCCCAATCCACCATTTTGGCAACTGGGAAAGGAGCGCCAAACTAGCACTCCTTTCCCAAGCCACGGAAAGGGCACCGCAAGAGCCGCCATGAGGCTTTTTTGTGCCTCTTCTGGCACAGCGTGTAAAAATGCTGCACCAGAAGGACATCATTGGAGCGCTTGCCATGTGCAATGGCGGGTGCTCCGATGACATCCTCGGGAAGGGTTGGGGCGTTTGGCATCCGGCTGCCCCTCCCCTTCCCTGTCTGTAGAGCCCCTTTCTTTGTTTTTCTTGTCTCATCTTAGGAGCTTATCGCATTAACATAAAACTCGACATCACCCTAATGGTATGCAACTGGGAGGTTGGATAGAGATGGAAATTATCACACTGTAATTCTCTGTCAGTTCTGTAGAGCAACTGCATCCCAGGTCCCAGCTGTGCTCAGCCAGCCCATTTTCAAAGTTGGGATCTGTCCATTTTAAAAAAAGGGCTGGCTGAGTATGGCTGGGAGCTGGGATGCAATCACCTGGTGGAATCAGTGGTGAATTACAGTGCGATAATTCCTGCCTCCATCCAGCATCTTTTGCTGCATCCCGTTAGGGTGATATTGGGTTTTATGTTAATGCAATAAGCTCCTTAGACTTCCTTAATATATTGTCATCTGGGGATTTGGTCATATATTCAAATATTTTAAAACAATCCTTTAACTTTATGCATACTATGGTTCAAATTATTATTCAGATTGTGCACATATCTCAGTGTGATGAACATACATGGAGATTTAAAGCTGATTGTAAGCAGCCAAACAGTGATCAAGTTTGGCATTTTGTGCACCCTTTTACCTTGTCTCCCGCTCTGCAACAATCACAAGAAGGAGATGGGAAACATTTGATTCTATTTTCAATTAATCATGGCTTATAGTTATATCCAGGCATGGAGCTGTGCTTAACTTGAGCAGAACTAGTAACAATTTTCTTGGGGATCAGTTTAATGGCACATAGCAAGAACAACAAATATTGCTTCTGAGTTTTTCTTTCTCATGTACCAAAATGGATAATATGGCTCAGATTTAACATTATGAATAATTCTGAATAAATAAGGACAAGAATGTGTCAGCATCAGTGATTGAAGGACTGCAAAAATATTTTTAAACTACTGTTGATGGAAAAGAAAACTGTTCCTTTGTTTATAAACAGCAGGAAGCCCACCATGTACCATTAACACAGTGGGCTTTTGGTATCTGCTGGGGTTTGGTTCTAGGAGCTCTGTGGATATCAAAGTCTGTGGATGTTCAAATCCCATTAAAAACAATGGCATAGTAAAATGAAGTCCCTTTTATAATATAGCAAAATTAAGGTTTGCTTTTTGGAATTCATATATATTTTTAAATATTTTCAAGCCAATGATGGTTGAATCTGTGGATATGGGGGCTGTCTGTACTCTTATCAGTTGTAATACATCTGCAATCCTACCTACACAATGTCAACATATAGTTACTACTTCAGTTTTTATTAATGCCAAACTGAGCAGTCCATGAAATCTTAACATTTTCAGAAGAGCATCCTGCCAATTTATGGCTAGTTTACATCTCAGCTACCTGTCACATAATTTCTAGGAGCCTGAGTTTCTTTGTAAGTGGCATAAAGTGCACTACACTTCTTTTGACATTGGTGGTTTTATATATACCATTTAGATGGAAGTGTCAATCCACAGTGATATTTCCCTAGTTATGATCCCAGAGGTAGCTCTGCATCAGGTCTGGAGAACCCAGGACCCTCCAGGTGTTGTTTGACTCCAGTTTTCATCACTTCCTGACAGCCTGGCCAATGGTAAAGGACAGCCTGACCAATGGGAGAGTAGTTCATAAACATCCTGGGGGCACAAGTCTACATACAATCCCTGCTCTCCATGTTCATAACCTGAGAATTATCTCAGCAAGAGGAATATCTTACACTAACTTTCCTGTTGTAGTTATCCTGAATATTTGTGATATACAAAGCATTGTTGACATATTGTTATAATTCTACTCAAGTTTTTATGATCCAAACTCTGCTTTAGCTTTTCCAAGTTATTATTCCTGTTTAGTTTCTTCCATCTCTAGAACAGGAGGAAGGCTAAAAAATATTTGAGTCCTCCACATTTCCATATCCATTATTTAAAATAAGCTGAGATCAGCTATATATTTCCATAAAATTGAATTCCCCAAAGCAAAATGCAAATACATGTCCAAGGAAGAAAAGGAAAAGCTCCAGTGGCCACTACTTGCCAAAGTTTTCTGATTTTTAGTCATCTTCTATAGCATATCAAGTTCACTTCTAGAATGTTTAATGGTAGCTGTCGGCATTGACTTATGAATTGACTTTAGACTTTTCTTTAGATGGCTTTTAAAAACATTTCATGTGCGAAATCTAATGACCTAAATTGTAACTTTTTCCTCCCTATATAAAACCATCTTTAATGTGACAAGTTTTAGTGCCAAAATGCAAAATACTGAAGTTCACAACCAAAAACTGACTTTTAAAATATCTTCCTAAGGACCTTGCTGCTGTGGATTATAAGGCAATGTTGACAATTTAAAATGTCAAAAGTATGTTCTGAGTGTAGATTGTTTGTTTAGATTTTGCTTTATGACTGTCATAAGTCCATTGAGAAACAATCTTTTTTTGCTGAATGCACAATGAAAACTTGTTGGGATGACTGAAAATGCAGTCTAGGGCATTCTGGGCACATTCCAGTGGCCATTTGAATCAATTTGGGTGGCTTTTCTAGAGGCTGTTTCAAGTTGTTTAATGTGTGAAGTTGGGCAAGGTTTTTAACCATTCTCTAGAATTGCAATTTATTGCAGAACTATAGCATAAAGAGTAGTGGCTATCTCCTGACACTATTTACAAGAGAAATTGATATCAGCTTATCTGGATGTTCTAGTCTAGCATCAGGGGTCTGAACTGGGATCACTGGTGTATATGTGTGTATTATGAATGGTCACTGTTAATAAAAGAACTGACAACTCTCTAAATTTAATTTTCCTCTCAATTCACCAACTGCTCTCTAACCATATACACCTTGTATAAATAGCTGACATTCTGTAAAACAATTCATGTATCTAGTGAAGTGTATTCCATGAAAGTTTTCATCATACTATATTTGTTAGTCTGTAAAGTGTGTCAGGCCTAGATTTCCTTTTTCCTGAGAAAGTCCAAAATTTAATTTAACCAAAATGGCTCCCAACCAATGTAAGCAGTGCCCTCTGCTGGTTCCTTCCATTCCTATTTGCTCTTTAGAATGTTATTATGTCTTCACAAGAGGGCCTTCTGTTCCAGTATGCAGCTCCTCATATGTTTCAAAATAATA